ACTATACTATACTACTACTACTACTACTACTACTACTACTACTACTACTACTACTACTACTACTACTACTACTACTACTACTACTACTACTACTACTACTACTACTACTACTACTACTACTACTACTACTACTACTACTACTACTACTACTACTACTACTACTACTACTACTACTACTACTACTACTACTACTACTACTACTACTACTACTACTACTACTACTACTACTACTACTACTACTACTACTACTACTACTACTACTACTACTACTACTACTACTACTACTACTACTACTACTACTACTACTACTACTACTACTACTACTACTACTACTACTACTACTACTACTACTACTACTACTACTACTACTACTACTACTACTACTACTACTACTACTACTACTACTACTACTACTACTACTACTACTACTACTACTACTACTACTACTACTACTACTACTACTACTACTACTACTACTACTACTACTACTACTACTACTACTACTACTACTACTACTACTACTACTACTACTACTACTACTACTACTACTACTACTACTACTACTACTACTACTACTACTACTACTACTACTACTACTACTACTACTACTACTACTACTACTACTACTACTACTACTACTACTACTACTACTACTACTACTACTACTACTACTACTACTACTACTACTACTACTACTACTACTACTACTACTACTACTACTACTACTACTACTACTACTACTACTACTACTACTACTACTACTACTACTACTACTACTACTACTACTACTACTACTACTACTACTACTACTACTACTACTACTACTACTACTACTACTACTACTACTACTACTACTACTACTACTACTACTACTACTACTACTACTACTACTACTACTACTACTACTACTACTACTACTACTACTACTACTACTACTACTACTACTACTACTACTACTACTACTACTACTACTACTACTACTACTACTACTACTACTACTACTACTACTACTACTACTACTACTACTACTACTACTACTACTACTACTACTACTACTACTACTACTACTACTACTACTACTACTACTACTACTACTACTACTACTACTACTACTACTACTACTACTACTACTACTACTACTACTACTACTACTACTACTACTACTACTACTACTACTACTACTACTACTACTACTACTACTACTACTACTACTACTACTACTACTACTACTACTACTACTACTACTACTACTACTACTACTACTACTACTACTACTACTACTACTACTACTACTACTACTACTACTACTACTACTACTACTACTACTACTACTACTACTACTACTACTACTACTACTACTACTACTACTACTACTACTACTACTACTACTACTACTACTACTACTACTACTACTACTACTACTACTACTACTACTACTACTACTACTACTACTACTACTACTACTACTACTACTACTACTACTACTACTACTACTACTACTACTACTACTACTACTACTACTACTACTACTACTACTACTACTACTACTACTACTACTACTACTACTACTACTACTACTACTACTACTACTACTACTACTACTACTACTACTACTACTACTACTACTACTACTACTACTACTACTACTACTACTACTACTACTACTACTACTACTACTACTACTACTACTACTACTACTACTACTACTACTACTACTACTACTACTACTACTACTACTACTACTACTACTACTACTACTACTACTACTACTACTACTACTACTACTACTACTACTACTACTACTACTACTACTACTACTACTACTACTACTACTACTACTACTACTACTACTACTACTACTACTACTACTACTACTACTACTACTACTACTACTACTACTACTACTACTACTACTACTACTACTACTACTACTACTACTACTACTACTACTACTACTACTACTACTACTACTACTACTACTACTACTACTACTACTACTACTACTACTACTACTACTACTACTACTACTACTACTACTACTACTACTACTACTACTACTACTACTACTACTACTACTACTACTACTACTACTACTACTACTACTACTACTACTACTACTACTACTACTACTACTACTACTACTACTACTACTACTACTACTACTACTACTACTACTACTACTACTACTACTACTACTACTACTACTACTACTACTACTACTACTACTACTACTACTACTACTACTACTACTACTACTACTACTACTACTACTACTACTACTACTACTACTACTACTACTACTACTACTACTACTACTACTACTACTACTACTACTACTACTACTACTACTACTACTACTACTACTACTACTACTACTACTACTACTACTACTACTACTACTACTACTACTACTACTACTACTACTACTACTACTACTACTACTACTACTACTACTACTACTACTACTACTACTACTACTACTACTACTACTACTACTACTACTACTACTACTACTACTACTACTACTACTACTACTACTACTACTACTACTACTACTACTACTACTACTACTACTACTACTACTACTACTACTACTACTACTACTACTACTACTACTACTACTACTACTACTACTACTACTACTACTACTACTACTACTACTACTACTACTACTACTACTACTACTACTACTACTACTACTACTACTACTACTACTACTACTACTACTACTACTACTACTACTACTACTACTACTACTACTACTACTACTACTACTACTACTACTACTACTACTACTACTACTACTACTACTACTACTACTACTACTACTACTACTACTACTACTACTACTACTACTACTACTACTACTACTACTACTACTACTACTACTACTACTACTACTACTACTACTACTACTACTACTACTACTACTACTACTACTACTACTACTACTACTACTACTACTACTACTACTACTACTACTACTACTACTATAATCAGTGTACTAACTTTGGTTAACTAACGCACAGATTTTGGTTTGTTTAAAGGGAAAAAATAAGGATTATTTGCCTTGGTTGTGGATGAGAATTCAACATGTGGAAGATATTCGACAACAGTAATAATTATGTTAGCTTAATAATCATATATACAGTGCTAAAATTAAATGAATTTCTATCAGCTTCATCAAGTGATAAAGAGAAACCAAAATGAGATTGCAGATCAAAACTAATCTACCTGTCATTTTCTTCACCTTTGGTCTATCTTGAACGAAAATCTGGAGAAACTAAATATTTTTCATCTACATAACTGGCACAAGATCTTAGTAAAGATGACAAAGCCATTTTTGACGTAACGTGATTTTGTGAAATAACATCGACTCCGCCCAAGTTGATTTCTGATCTAAATACACAGTTTTGCAGTGATCAGGAAATCTAGTCACTTTAAATTACTGGTACTGTCAACATCTTTTAAATCAACCAATTCGTCCTCGCTGACAGTCTGAATTATTCCTCCAACAGCTGTTGATTCTCATTAAAATACCTATTATTGACTTCCAACAGTGGATGGTTTCTGCTTTCCGGTAATCTTCAACTCTTACATACTTGACAGCATTCCAAACATTTGGGATGTAGGAGTTATTTCCTTGCTAACTCCAGCTTTTGACGCAAAGCAACCTTCATAAATCTACTACATCCCTTCAGCTGGTGTTCTTATAAGGCACATTCTTCTGGATCAGGTATATATAGTAGTAAAGAGGCTGATATCATCTACAGAAATAACACTTTAGTTGTTAGTCGTAATAATTGTTCAGTAAGCTGTCACACAAGATGCAGAACTAAGAAACTATTTATGACAATAAATCCCCATCACAAGCTTTCACAAGTCAAATTACATTACTACCTGGTAATTTAAATATTTATGGAATTTGAGTAAATTTAAGTATTTGCATTAACTGCTTTGTTTATATACTGAATTCTCGTCTCTTCTGTCATCATACGAAAACTACGACGGAGTGAATACTTAATCATTACTATTAAGTCATAGGTTCGCACTATATTCTACTGTAAATTCCTTTTTACTGTTAATTCGTCTCTCAAGCAAAATAAACCTTCACTATCCTGTTTGGTTGATAGCAAAGGAGTGGGAAAATAATCTCCGAAAACTGGCACCGTGTTCTTTGAAGGTGGTAAATTACACGTGATATTGAAAACTCGTATAATATGAGAGCAAATATTTCTGATGAATTCAGAATATAGATTAACATAAAAGTAATTTACAAGTTTATAGCAAAATAAATCCACTGATGAGGAATCTGTGTTCAATCATCAATAACGTACTTAAAAAGTAGGCATATTCCACCATGAAATCCGGAGAAATTACAAACGTGATATAAAGTGAGATATATCCAGAAAGACGAATATAACAACAAACAATTGGAGAATGTAGCGTGAGGAGGATCTGAGAGGTAGTAGTATTGAAGAACCAAGTTATCTTAACTCGAGATATTTATCTCTAACAACACTGCTTGGTATATTTAAAGTAGCTTCATAGAATATGTAAAACTGACGTTGGCGAAGTTGTGACGTCATTTGATTAAGCCCTCACAGAAATGTCAGTGCAACTTGAAATTTGATGCATCACAGCTGAGGGGGAGACGTCATTTTATCAACTTATTGTCATCCTCTTGGCCCTGAACTCAACTGATTAGACAAATATTTACGAACTGTGCAGACATTTATTCATACGATTTGTATCTAGTTTCTAAATCCTATCAGTATAATCAGTGTCACTCATACAGCGTTTTCATTCACTCAAAAGTGTTATAGACGTTCAGTATCATAGCAATTATTTCTAAGTTCTTATACTTCCTAATCCACTTTTACCGCAATTACTGATCATAATTTGGATATTCAATCTCATTTAAAAAGTGTATTTGGTATTCTTTGAACCAACAGGACTTCCACTGTTTGTATTTTATGCTATGTTTAATAACATAACAAGAATCCCAAGCAATCTGGTATTTTGCTATGTCGAAGATAAAACCGAAGCATGATAACCTTTCATTTGTTAATTATCATAAGCTAATGCTAAAGATCACGAAAAACATAAGACCATTGTCGTACTCATGACAAATGAGATATTAAAGATATTACTAAAATTAAAGCTTAAAATATTCAAGATGTCGACTTATCCAATAATAGTAAAATTGATTAGTCCCGATATATAAGTGGGAAAGAAATCTAATAAGCGACAGTACATTTACAAAATATCTTGCGATTGTAAGGCGAAAACTTATTTTCAACGACCAACATTGAATCATCAACCTAAATGATTTCAATAAGCCAAATGAATGGAAATTTTATTGACACATCGAATCTTCAGTGAAATTATAAGATTACAGAACTAAATAGATTTTCAGGTTAAATATCAGTACCTCTTTAAACCAATGATCTGGGAAGACATCTAAAAGCGCCTGATGATACAGTTTTAGCTATACACAATAACACAAAAAAGCAAGGAAATGAGGAATATAGTCAGTAGTATATGTCATTTGCATCGGAAAAAATACCTCCCACAAGCTAAATAGGCAAATGTCTAATATATATGTGATTTGAAACATTATTAAGTAAAATAGAATTTAAAAATTTTCCAGACTGATTCACTGTAAATATAAGCGAGAAAATTATTTAAACTTAAAACAGATTAACATATCACATAGAATTTTTCCTTTCAGTCTAAATGTGTTTTAGGTCTGACACTGGAAGGCAGTGTAATCGGATATAACAACAGGTCTTATTGTTAAGTCGGCAGTTGTGACAGATTATACTCTTGTAGTAGCAATAGCATGACGATGAAGATTGAATGAAATCCAACTGAACCAAAAGAGCGCATAAAACATTAACAATTTAACACACAATAATATAAGGATGAACAGAAAAACAACTGAAGTATACATAAGGAAACAAAAGATGCAAAACTGATCAAATACATGTACAAAAGAATTTAAAATGTTTTTTTTGTTTTAAATCTGAAAATGGACGTGAGGGAAAACAAAAATAATAATCATAACAAAAAACAACCGGTCAGCCATAATTTGGTTGTAAAAATGAATGTACTTTATCATATCTATGTATATTGATAGTGACAGAAGCGTGAGCTGAACACAAAACATATTTGGATGAGATTCTGAGTTATAGTTGACTGAGGATAATAATAATAATAATAATAATAATAATAATAATAATAATAATGTGTTAGTGTGGAGATATAAATCCTAAATACAAATCAACTTCTGCGTTCGCTTAAAAGAGGTGAATTTCCATAGATTAGGACGTCAATTGAAAAATTCAAGAACCCAATAAACCACAAGAACACATACATATAAGTAGATCAACATTACGCACTTCGTGTTTTGCCTATTTCAATGAATACAAAAAAATTAATGCATATCATAGTAATGATTGTTTATCGACAATCCCATATATGAATTGTTTGATCGACACTACCCGTTACAGCATAGGGAGCTAAACGGTTAACATCTGTCATAATAAAATAAAAGAGAATTAGATAAACGCATAGAAAAAAACACTATTAAATAATTATGATAATATCAGTAAAACAATTAAAATAATTACATAGAAACATGTGTATTCCTCAGAAAGGAGACATTAATAGCACAAATAGTCTATAATACTGAATTAAAATTAATGTAATTGAGTTTGTGTGACTTAAAATTATACGATTAATTCTCCTGATATTATTGAATCGATCAGTGATTCCTTACTATTTATCATTACATGTCACAAGACTTTTGAAACATTTTTTGATGGTATAATAAGTTCTGTATTTTATCAAAGTTTCAAGTTTATGGTTTTTATTTCATTAACTTATATTTTCTTTTCGAATCGTATCTTGGATGTTTAATCCTTCCTATTACCACTGATTCTGTTACTACTTGTACTATTCTATATTCGTCTTCTCATTGCACTATCGAAATTTGTCAAAGGGACTAATTGTTTTAAAATAAAAACAAATGAACGAATGTTTTTATTTTGCTGTTGCAGTTAATTGTTCATCAAATATTCAGATAAACCAACTGATTAGAACAGATGAGTGAAATTGTTGTTTTCCAGATAACAAGTGATCGATTAGATTGGAATAGAGTTCAAGTTTACTTATTAATTATTAGTTGCTTAAGGACAGCTAATTGCGTTCCAACTCCCCTATTAATAATATATGGACTTAAGCAAAGTTTGTGTTCGTTCACCGCGAGAACTGAATGTTTTTATACCACAACTCGGCGCCCAAATGCTGTGAAACTATTTGTCCAAATTTAGATGAAAGTTCTTACATGCATCACATAAATTATCATAAACCGAATGAGATATAAAATACTTTCATCGTAGAAAGACTAAGATGTCTAGCCAGACATATCATCAGGCAACGTCTAAACAGCCATTAGATTCCTTACTTGACTCACAATTATTGGTAACTTATGGGAGAATTATAGTAAAAATTGAAGACTATGTACATCAGAATTTACAAAACAATAAAACATTGTTTTCAATGATGAAAATTCAAAAGAATCACAACTAAAATTCATAGCATATCCTCTGAATTGTATTTATTGATTAAATTTCCATTATAATCCTCATAGCATGCACACTACAACTAATTACTGTTACTGTTTAAATCAGTATTACAAAAGTATTCTGTAAACACTTATTGTTCATTGAAAGTCGACATTTCAGCATTTTATTAATGGCCATAGGGGATATTTCTTTTTAGCATTTAAATAAAGTTTGTATGTATTATTAAAAACATTGAACTATGAAACGACATAGAGCTTTAAAAAAAATAAGTATTTCAGATCATATTTGAAGGGCTGAAACCACGAACAACATTCAATTACCTGATATCTAGATTTTAACTTTAATCTACAAAATATTCGTTCATTTGAAGTGCCTCACATGACAAAAAGTGAAATCGATTTTTAATCATTTAAATTATTGGTTAACTCACCTAAAGAGGTAACGAAATGTGAATGGGCATTTAATGTTTTGTGACATCGCCGATTTTTCAAATCCCAAACTCGAATTGTTTTGTCGTCAGAGGCAGACAATAAAAGTCTACCGTGAGGGTGAAATACAAGTTGTCTAACCCAATTATCATGACCGATCTAAAAACAATTATTGATGTATATGGAATCATAAATTGAGTTACTACAAAAAAGCTCAAGTCATCGTAAAATAAAATTACATTATCAGGTAGCATAGCTGAGTACCATTGATAATATTTAAAAAATGGCTATCAGTTATAAACATTTTCAACCATCAACACCTGTTTAAATTTTAAAACTTGTGGCATTAAAAGGTATGAAAAAAACAGCGTAAACAGAGAAGCTATTGGACTGAATCAACCATTTACACATAACAAGTCAACCAAGATATAAAAAACTTTCATCTCATCAAAGTCGGTCTGTTATGAACTCGACTATTCTTATTACTGGTATTCTTCGGACGCTACTTAACTCAACACGCACCCAAAACCAGAACACAGCTGAACATGGACGTAATTAGATTTCGAATAAACAGGTTGAGTGAAAGTAGAAACCAAAATACGAAAAACATTAGTATATTTATAATTTTTACATAGCAAGATTCTTGAGTCTTCTCTAAATATTCGATAGCGATAGTTGGCTAAGAAATGGCCAGCGTACTTAATTACACCTGTTACCAATCATACAGGAGAACGGCCGTCAACCAGCATTCCCCATCTAACTGTCTCCAGGGCAATCATTCACAGCTGCTGTTCCTTCTTTTTAATTATTATTTATTTCAACACATGAACGTTGGTACAAGGGGGCACAGATCCAAATGAACCACATAATAACAATGAGGCCAGTAGCAATAATCATTAGTATGACTGAGGGCTGGAATACTGCGCGAGTACCCACACCGAAGTAGGTGGTATTCTTATGGGGCCACACCCGGAGCCTCCGACCTACAAGTCTAATTCACAAGGCAGTGGAGCAACATTAGAAGATGCGGTCCCATGGTAGCCGGTGACCAACGATTGGTTCATACACCATTTGTTCCCTCAGGATACTGGAGCCCATGTACACCATTGGTTTGGAATCAGGGTTTTCCAACTCCCCTAGGTGGACTCTCCGTGTCCACCAACCCGGTTAAAGCGTCGGACATTCGCTTTTCGTCCTCTCAATTTCGTAAACAACATTCCCTTCTCTAGAAGGTAGTGAGTAGGACTTCCCTGGCAGTGGCTATCTACGCGTGACCATGTGAGAGCATTTCGAGAAGGAGAGCTGCCTCCACCCCTCGGCCGTACCAGGGCATTCGGAAGCCATTTTTTCATGTCTGCTTCCAATTCCCGGTGCAGTGTTCTTTACCTTTCCTCTTTCCCGTTTCCTTTCAGGATTCCAAGCAAGCGCTTGCCTCGTGATGCAATCGGGTTATTTCTGTAATGCATGTCCTATCCACTTCCAGCGTATCTCCCCAATTTCCTCTTCAGTTCGAAGCTGGTTTATTCTTTCCCACAGTAGGCTGTTGCTCGTGGTATTCGGTCAAACGACATTCAGTATCTTGAGTAGATAATTGTTTATAAATACTTGTATCTTTTTGATGATGGTTGTAGTAGTAGTCCAAGTTTTATCTCCGTACAGTGGAAATGTCCCGACGTTCGTATTGAAGATTCTGGATTTTATATTGGTTGGCAATTGTTTTGAGTTCCTTACCTTTACGTCTGCATCCGATCCTCCTCGTTCACTGATGATGCTGCTGACCAAGTACATGAAAGTCTCCACCTGTTCCAGAGCTTTCCCATCAAGTGTGGTTGAGTTAGTGTTCTCTGTGTTGTATTCAATGATGTTGCCCTTCCCTTGTGTACGTTGAGGCTTCTGTCACAGTGGCTGTCTTGACCTGCATTTGTCTATGTGTACGGGATAGAAAAGTTAGGTCATCAGAAAAGATTCTCCTATCCACTCTGTCAAACGCCTTCTCATAGTCAAGGGATTTGATGTATGGTGACGAGTTCAATTCAATTGATTGTTCAACGATGATGCGTAGTGTCGCGATTCGGTCTGTGAACAACCGGTCCTTACGGAATCCGGCCTGTTGATCTTGAAGCTGGATGTTAACTGAAACTTTTATTCGGTTCAGCAACATTCTGTGAAAAAAGTTTTCTGGTACTGATAGTAGTGTGATGCTCCTGTAGCTGAGTTCTCACCTTTGCTCAGATCTTTCTTTGGTATCTTGATGAGATATTCTTCTTCCCAGTGGAAATGGCCAGAGTATGCCAACGTAATTCCACACGGAACACACTTGGATTCAATTTATACCCCGCTAACAACGACAATTAACCTAATGTCATACTACTTGTATGTAACAACCGTAAGTCAGTAAGTGTATCGAACCACATCTATTCGTCAAACAAATATTAACTTCATGTAGGCTAAAAATAAAATAAATTTGAGACACGACGCTGCATATCATGGCATACATTGCGGTGGAAAATTAGTATAATGATAATAGGATTTATCTAGGTTTAATGCTGTAATATATCACTGGGTTATGGGATTGAACTCGTTGAGTTCAGACATGATTCTAATTTTCTTTAGCAAAATGCGTTTATTATTATTCTTAAAAAAACGCTAGTGTCAATTGCTTTTTTTTTACCACAATACATGTTGGTTGTACTTGTGAAGACTTTGGGATTGTTAAAGTTCAATAACATCAAAGTGGTAAAAAGCGCTCCAAATGCTGTAAATCAAAATGCAAAGATCACCAAGACCATTTCCGAGAACGCAAAAACAGATATGTGAGCAAATGAACTTGCATCGTAATTAAAGGAGCCTAAATAGTGTGACAACGATTTTAATCTACGCATACAATGTTGCATTGAGTACTTCCAAGTTAATCACTACATATTAATGATAAAACAAATCCCTATAATATGATAAACCTCTTTAGAAAGTCAATCTATAATCTAGCTACTACTCCTAGAAAGTCATCAAAAGAATATTGCATTGTAGTCTGGTTAGAGTGGTTAGAATATTCAGGTGTTTAAGATTAATGAACTTAACATCGTTCTCAAGGAAATACTGAATTGGAAATCCTATGCAACAACTGGTATATTTTCTTCAAGAATGGTTAAGAATGGCAAGTCACACATAGTTATGAATAACAGAAATATAACAAACTTGATAAATTCCAATGAGTGATGATGCGTTGGTTACAATCAGTGAATCACCAGTTAAGACAAAGTATACAAAACAAAAGTATCAGAAAACAGTATAAAAACTACTTACAAGAACAAACAAGCAAATACCAATATTTACATCCCAAAAACGAATAGTCCTATCGCGTGAACCAGATACAAGTAACAAAGATGAATTCATACTAGAAGGTAAAGAATTTAAATCTACAGGAATTCCATTGGTTGTGGCGTTGATAAATCCATCATTAGTAAAATTAGTAGAATCGCCACCTTCGGACGCAGAACTAGTTATTGCTAATATACTTTGTGGATGAGAAGCCCAAGTAATGCATTCAACTACGTGTTCATGACCACGTAGTACAACTTGACATTCGCGCGATTCTACAGACCAGATTCGAATAGTATGATCATTGGAACAGCTGGCTAATAGATTCCCCTCTGGACTTGGACGAACTGATCGAATCCACTCGGTATGACCGATGAAAGTCTTCGTACAATATCTACAGATTCAAGACAAGGTAGTTGTTTGGCAAAAATACAAATTTAAATAAGGCGAAAAGTAATCGATAAGCACCTACTGGAAAAATCCATGGCAAAAACGCCTTAAAAAATGTTCAACATTCCTTCAACAGTTAATAAGGCAGAAGAGCTAAACTGATTAATTCTAGGCTGTTTTAGCATTGTATGTGTTGTGAATTTTAGCCCGGCTAATTATCACGCGACTTATTCGCCGATCGGAATACGACTTATGCGATCTTAGCACTGTGTCAAACCAATGATGTTCGACCAGTATGAGCAGCCTAGCAACCATATTGGTCCTTTTGTGGTGTGTGCTACTTATATTGACATAAGTAGTATATGATGTTAGTCGTGAACAGAAGGTCTGGCAGCAGAGAGACTAGAGGATCGAACAGTAAAGAATCGAAACAGAGTGAAATATATATGAAAATGCAAGGACAATGAAGTCTGAGTCATTTTGAGACAATTGGTGGACATTTTGCAAATTAAGCATTTACATTATGATTGTTAGATTTTATTAACAAGTCCTGTAATTTTGTGTTGAATAGATTCGATTATCCCCATTAGTGTTCTTGTTCACTACACTTTTTTTCTCCTAACCCTCCCAGTTGAGTTCAGAACACTAATATCAGCTTCCACTATACGAATCATTTATTTCAAACATACTTGGTTTATATACCAGACAAACTGACCGCATCACACCATAAAACAGAAGATAAGATTTACACAAGATCAAGCCAAAAAGTGGCTGTGAATGTGGGAGACTTTATTTAATAAACTGAGCATAATTTAAGAATGATAAATCATATCATAATATTCTATAGGTCAAATAAAAGCTTATAATAAAAGGAATATAGATATGCACAATCTAGTTACTGAATGGTTATACAATAAGAATATATATGTAATATTAGTCCATTAATAGTTCACAGAAGTTACCAGTAATTTAATTTTCCCTAGGACATAACAGTATGAATAATTAAGATTAATCACTATAGGGTTTAACGGTCCACATATTCAAAGGCGATCCCGTCGATTTTAATCGGATAATCGATATTTGTAGCTGCTAATCTCCACTCCCCAATGGACGTTAGTTACTCATATGATTTAGATAAAGAATCGGTGAATTCATAGATTAGTGATATGCTTTAATTATGACTGCTCTGAAGCATCTATCTAATAATTCATCTAATGTCAGACATTGAAGTAGACCGAACTTTGACTTGTGTACTGTTGACTTAACAAAATTAAACTAACTTCTGTGTCGATAGCAAAGAATGTCATATTCCCCTAAAAGATCATCTTTATCATAACTTATTAGTTCCTGTTGCTATTTCTGGCTAACCATTTCTAAACTAAAGTGTTAAGCGTAGTACGCATTACTAACTTTTTCCATGAAAAATAGAAAGGTTTATACAAATAGAATAGATACTATATATACAGGTTATTTGGGTTATCATAAGCGAAAGATAAATATATACGTTTGAAAATATACATCGTTGAACGACTACAATAAAATGTGCAAGCTTAATAAAACCAAGTGTTAATCAGTGTTGAGCAGCATCAAATTAACACTCAGTACTGAAATAGTGGAGATAATTTGTAGCTCAGATTGATGATTTAGTTGAAGCTTTGTTCTATGACTTAGATGGTTTGTTTGTGGAGCATTCATTGTTCTTCTGAACAACATCATAAGAACAAATCTCAAGTAGAAGTGAAGTGTTCGAATTTCTTCATATATGACTCAAATCTTTTTCTGTCGTGCTTGATCATCATTGTATCTCCCTTTGATCTGATTATTTGTCCTATGTTTGTCCATGATTTTTCCGATTGGTTGATAGATTGAATCGATTTCGATAAGTTTGTTGATTGCTGATTGACCTGAGTGACAAGCTTCTTAAAATTCTCTAGTGTTTTAAATATTCTCTCTATCCAAAATTTAAACATTTTTCTATTCGAATGAGTTCGCAGTTATCCACACGCATTGATATATACAAAGATGTGTCACAGCATTTGACCGCGTCCATTTTGTTTGGTATACGCTCCCTTCAACTTCGCCTGAATGAATATCAATTAGCGGTCAAATGCCACGACATATAATCGCTTATATCCATGCATGTGGACAACTGCGAACATAAATTCGACTAGAAAAATATTTAAATCATGGATAGAAGGAATTTATTTATTTAAACACACAAACATTGGTACAAGACACCAAATATATATATATATATATATATATATATATATACGCCACACAAATAATTCTATATGTGACAGAGCTGTGATACTGCGCGAGTACCCACACCGAAGTAGGTGGTATTCTTATGGGGCCACACCCGGAGCCTCCGACCTACAAGTCTAATTCACAAGGCAGTGGAGCAACATTAGAAGATGCGGTCCCATGGTAGCCGGTGACCAACGATTGGTTCATACACCATTTGTTCCCTCAGGATACTGGAGCCCATGTACACCATTGGTTTGGAATCAGGGTTTTCCAACTCCCCTAGGTGGACTCTCCGTGTCCACCAACCCGGTTAAAGCGTCGGACATTCGCTTTTCGTCCTCTCAATTTCGTAAACAACATTCCCTTCTCTAGAAGGTAGTGAGTAGGACTTCCCTGGCAGTGGCTATCTACGCGTGACCATGTGAGAGCATTTCGAGAAGGAGAGCTGCCTCCCCCCTCTCGGCGGTACCAGGAGCATTTGGGGACAATACTTAAAACACTAGAGAATTTTTAAAAGCTTGTCACTCAGGGAAATGATTAATCAACAAACGCATCAAAATAGATCCAATCTATTGACTAACCAGTAGTATTGGTAGTAGTAATGATGATATAGCTTTATTTACATATGTTGTGCGAACTTAAACCAAGGAACATGTGCTAGTTTTTGTTCTGATGATTGACTGGCTAACAGCTTCCAAGTGTAGCTTTCTATTCTCGTATATGCTAGTAAAATCTATCCATTGACTTGAAGAAGAACCATTCTTAAACCTAACCAACTGCCTGATTGAGAAAATTTCAAAACTGTACAATAACCTACATTTATGCAAAGAAACGCTGAATTTTGAATTTACGCTGCGAAAAAAGTAAAAATTTGGTTGATGCAGCTATTTCAAGAAATTATTTCTTGGATTAAAACCAAGAAATAAGACTTTTCAAATATTAAACTAGAGTGATATGGTTTTCGAAATATGTATAGATTAACGTTGGTGATCTTACTTGGATCTTGTGATCTAAAAGAAATCTAGTGATCATACGACATTCGTTGATGCAGGCCGAAAATCGATCAAAAAAAGAACATTCATTAATTGTATGGATTCGGAATATATGACCTTCATATTCTGATTAGTGTATATGTACTTTCAATGATAATATACTACAACTTAAAGAAGCAAATAATCGATTACAAGATCGAGTGCTTCAATTTCTGCAGTACAATTATTCACGTGACAAGTAAAATACTCAAGGTGTTTTAGATCACTAACACAAAATATTTGAGTGAATCCAGATTTCTAGGAAGACAGCAAACCTTTTCTTACTAAAATAAAAAGCATGTTTTTACTAACAATACAAAATAAACTACATGGGAACACTGAGAAAATCGGTCATCATACCCTGTAGATACTTCCCACATTTTAATCGTTTTATCTCTACTTGCACTGACTAAGAAGTCGCCAGAAGGTAGAAACGCTACACTGGATACATTATGATCATGACCAGTCAGAGTTTTGATGCATTGATAGATTGTAAAATCCCATAATTTAACTTGCATGTCAGCGGAGCATGAAGCCAAAAACTTTCCTGACGGATCAAAGGCTACGTCTTGAACAGAATCTGTATGGCCTTTTAAGGTATGCTCAAACTCTCCAGTCTCATAATCCCAAACCTAAAAAAGAATTCTATGTTTAAAAGTGAACCATTACAAAGACTCTTGATCTATTTGAAAATAAATACAACGATAAATCTAGAAGGTATCACTGTTTTCAAAAGCAATACTAATTTTAAATTACACACAGCGTCAAAACTCATATTGTCTAGTCCATCAAAATGCAAAACATTGCGCTGAAAATTTACGTGCGAAATTTTGGTGATGTTATACTCGTATAAAATGAGAATCAAGCACTATTTATATGATTTTTATTATTGTGCTCTCATCTGTCGATACTCCATGGATGCAAAATATGTACGTGGGAGAAAATACTGACCTACATATACAATCAGCTTATGGAAATATGGGTAAATAGGCTGATAATAAAGTCTGTTTAGCATACATAGGAAAAAAAGTAAACAAGATATATTGTAAGTTGACTAGTTACAATACTCAGATTCAGATATAACACGCCCCTTAATAATCCCTTGCATTTAGAAGACGATACATTAAGTTTACGCAGAAAACCAATTATTAACATATAATAACTTTGGGAGATTGATTCTCACTTCAATGAGCTATGTGAAAGAGCAAATATGACATGTTATAAGCCAATAGAATAGTAGAATGATTTAAGGAATATCCTTAGTGTACCAACACTGAATTGCTACTGTTAACAAAGTAGAGTTCTGACTATTCCATGCTCACCTCAGGCTAAAAGAGGAATACGTTGATTCGTTCATTTTCCAACCAAGCAAAGCCAGTGAATGAATCGAGAAGATACCAGAATATCTTCATGTACATTCTGTATAAATCCTAATGCTTTCATTACTACCTTCGATGTCCCAGTTTATTTAAAGATGTATTGTTCCGACTCAATTCTGACTTGAAACGAGTAGAGTGAAGTAGAGTCTAGATATTACTGGACGGTGGAGAACATAATATACACTAATAATTTTAAAGGATAGTTTGGATAAGATGAAAACCCTACAAAAACGAATTTACATAAAAATGAAGGGAAATTTAAAGAAATTGTATCAGTGACTGAAATTAAAATAAATCCGTTTTTCTCGACAGTGCGGCCCAGGGTTTTTGGGGGAAGTAATCAAATATCAATATGATCGAACATAAACACATTATTCACAGGTCAGATGTATACTAAACAAACCGTCCAATCATGTTAGATTATTTCCCTTAAAAATATCTGAACCATACTACCAAGCGGAACTTCAATCGCTGAGATTGGTACCAATATAAATCTATCCTTAATATCTTACATGGTTTTCAACTACTATCAAAACTATTCACTCAAATTTAGACTAAGGTTTTTATAAGTAGTGGAATTTGGTTGCTAAGAGGTTCAATATATTTGATAACTAATCCCTGAAGATTACCGAAATAAACATTTCACCAATCCTAAGAAACTAGAAAGTTATGCTGAACAGAATCAACTAGTATTCTAACCTGATAAAAAATATCATTTTAAGGCATACTGTAAACCACTTCCTAAAGAATGGTAACCAATTTTAATTTGGAAAAATATGTGCCACTCAACAAAAGTAAATTTAAAACAGAATGGACTAACTTTGATTGAGGCATCTTCACTTGCTGATACAAAAACATTGTAGTGTGGATGAAAGAGTACACGAGTTATCGGAGAACGATGACCTGTAAGTGTAAACTTGGCTGGAGGTCTCGGAATAGCATCAACATCACGTCGATCACCCCTGTCTGAAAGACCACTTCCAGGTGCAGCACCTGCTATACCGAAACCAACGGCATTTTGCATGGACTGAAACTCCTTCTCAGCCTCGTTAAGCTTAGCTTCTAAATCCATGACCTAGAACAAAGTAAAAAGTCTAGCGAGACCATAAAACTAAAATCTAAAAGCTGATTTACTGCTTAGTAATAGGATATATTATACACATTTTGTAAATGAAACCTCCCTACCAAAGTTATTCAACGACAACCAAAACCGATCATACGAATGTTATCTCTTCTGAGATTTAAAATTAACTCACGATGTTCGCAAAAACAGATGACTGGGATACATTGATACCCAGACACATAAGTAGTAAACCACAAAACAAAATTTCTCGTTAAGTCTTAAGAGTAAATTTTTGATTTTGTATTAACTAGTATGCTATACCATAACTTAATAGTCGAAGGCCGAGTGTTCGAACCAATATCTTAAGCTCGGTTGCATATCATCAACTGTAAAAACAATTAAGGTCATATGTGATAGAAAATACCATGCAAACTAATGACTTGTACATTCTGACTTCGCAACGTTCGACTCCGCTCAGAATGATTTTTTGGTTCTTAGTGAATTTACCAAGGTTCACGCGGAACAGATCCGAAAATTTAATGAATGAAACACTACAGCAGATACATTTCCTTCAGTTGCAAAGTTTTTGGGCTGAATTCCACTACTACTTGTAGCCTCCAAATGCCCTGGTACGGCTGAGGATGGATAGAGTCAATTCTCTCAAAATACTCTCACATGGTCACGCGTAGATAGCCACTGCCAGGGAAGTCCTACTCACTACCTTCTAGAGAAGGGAATGTTGTTTACGAAATTGAGAGGACGAAAAGCGAATGTCCGACGCTTTAACCGGGTTGGTGGACACGGAGAGTCCACCTAGGGGAGTTGGAAAACCCTGATTCCAAACCAATGGTGTACATGGGCTCCAGTATCCTGAGGGAACAAATGGTGTATGAACCAATCGTTGGTCACCGGCTACCATGGGACCGCATCTTCTAATGTTGCTCCACTGCCTTGTGAATTAGACTTGTAGGTCGGAGGCTCCGGGTGTGGCCCCATAAGAATACCACCTACTTCGGTGTGGGTACTCACGCAGTATCACAGCCCAATATTTGTGTTCAAATAAATAAATAAAACTACTCGCAGGCAATAGTGCATAGGTCTCAATAGTTGGTTGCTTTTACAAACGATTTCAAAACGACTTCGGAAGTTATGACAACTGGTTCTGAGATTACGGTAAAATATCTGGCACGTTATATCTCTCAATCAAAGCTATGATTTTAGAACTAAGATTAACTGTCCAACTATATCTCTAAAGACATACTTTATATTCACTTTGATTTCTACTCAGTAACCCAACATTGTTTGGTTCTTGCATGTCCAGTTTTAACATGACTGAAGATTTATTCGCATAGGACAGCCAAGACCTCAGTCAGTCACAACCTAAAACCTGGTATGTATTTACATCTGTTCAAGTTGCCACACCCCATTAGCACAGAGATAGAATTGTCCGGTTAAATCTCAGAATAAAAGTAGTAACAGTACCGATGGTAATGGGAAAAATTAGACATAGAAGATAGGATTTAGTGGTAAAATATAAATTGGTGAAATAATAGCAGAGTTATGAGGAATTTTGAATTTCGGAATTTGGAAGAAGCCAAAAAATGGATGAACCTACGCCACTGCAAACGCTTTTGAGCCATGTCATTCAAAGCCTCTAATTATTGGTTATGATAAGTACACGCGCTGCAACCAGGTGGTTTATACTAATTAACATGGCTAAGTCCAAAAGCCAGTGACTTCATGGACTGATGCAACGTTTTCGCCTGGCCGCCCTTAGCTTTCTTCCAGACTACTCCTATGCTAGATAGCATCTCCCGTTGAGGTAGATTATGGCTGTTGCTTTTAGCCTTACTGTTTTCTAGTCAACTTGTCTGGCATGATAGGACATAGAAAGAACATCTGTTCTAGCCTAAACAGTTCGGTTGAATCATCACCACAGGCAAGCACGACCACCACGTCAAAGTAGCAGCTACGGTCAGGTAGCAAGATCTCACTTTATGTCGGTTTTCTTGTCATCTCATTATCATTCACGCCATACATTTAAAGTGGTAATGTTAGTATTTAGAGTTCGAACGTTCTCATCAGTCTGGAGGAAATAGAATCAACTCTAGTCTGGAGTTAAAAGCTCTGAAATAACCCACTTGTCCTTGGATGTCAAGTAGGCTTACTTGTCTACGCGGTCATTTGGTAGCATTAAAAATTTAATCAGCACTTAGATCCGAACCCAAGCTACTACACGACAAATAGCAGTCATGATTGTCAGTATAATAGCATGTGGTTAGAAATCTTCATGCCCCCCGTATGATGAGCCAAAGCCAACAGAAAATAAGAAATGAAAGAGCTTTCAGACGTCGAAGCAATTTCTTATGAAGATAGTGAAAATAATGCATCAAGTTTCTCAGATGAGGATAACCCAAAACATGAAATTTAAGATACACTTTTAGTCAAACTAATCAAATAGACGAAACCTAACGTGAAGAAAGCTAAATACACTCAAATCGAACCTTTTTTTGAAGTCTAATGACGGAAGTCCACTTTTTCTCTAATAGGCCATCATATTTTCGGTCATTTTCCCCTGCCTACAAATCATTAAGGGCATATTGTTGAAATTACCAGTTGTGACTCTTCTCTGAAGGCATTCAGAGCTTTGACGTATCCATTAGCAAATAAATAATCGGCAATAGCTCTGTTGCTACATGCGTAAATGAGTTTTGAGGTACACTTACAGCTCCTCTTTTTGACGCTGAGCTAAAACCATCAGAGAAGTTACTGGGAATACAAGTAGTTCTAAATATGTAGATTTTCGGGATGAGTGACTCTCTTCAGTTATGAAGCCAATCCACAACTCCTACCGAGAATATGACCAATCACAGTACGAAGACACCAAAATCAAAAACAACCAGCTCCCAAAGCCCGCTTAATTTGTTTTAATATCTATGTTCAGTATTTCATTTCTTGGAATTGGGACGAATATTATATACTATTATGTCTTCATGTTTGCTTTCAGTAGGCTGTACTACGGAGCAATCATATACGATTTTTTTCTTTTTGTTGTCCAGCATACAGTTCGAAGTACTAATTGTTTACCACTTACTGTTCCTTGATGAAAACAAATCTTTCCATATATATATATATATATATATATATATATATATATATATTCAGAAGTATGTCAGTGAGGGCCATTTCTTATTTGTTGTAATTAAGTGAGACAGTACATAATAAGTTGTCAATTGTTACGACATTAAAAATGCCACAAGTATCAGTAGCGCCTTTGTGATCCAAGTATGACATCCTATTCATATTCGAAGTTAGAAGTTAAGAGTTTGAAGTTATATTTGAAAGGCTATCGATGCCTTGAGGAGCGTTTGATCTAAGCTGGCTAACGGTTGTAGGAGATGTGTAGTGCGACATATCCACTCGTGATCTGGTGAGAATGCGTGACCGAGGGCATTCAGTTAAGTGCAACCATTAAAGCTAGTGAGGTCAGCATAAAATGTCGAAGACTAAAAGGGCCATTTATTTTTGGGATTTATTTGCCGCTTCAAGATAAAAAGAGCAATAATCCTGCATGACGTAACAATGAAGTCGAAATGTCCGGAATGTAAATTCCACATTTTGAGTCCATGTTGACTGATCAAACCCATTCTATCAAGCATTGAACACACTTGGATTTTCACTGTTATGCATTTAATCGGTTTGGTCACGTTCCAAATTTCCTTAAGGATATTGATGTTCAAGTTAGCAGTTCTCATTACTTGTCTCAATGTATCCTCCCATCATATGAACCTACGTGCTTGACATTTTAATGACGGAAAGGACTGATTAGTGCTCGTAGATAACAGAACTTTGTGAGAGTTCTTAACTTTGCTGTTTTCCCCCAGTTGCCTGAAACATCTGATATCCGTAGTGGTAGACCTAAAAAATGGGTACGTATCTACGACTTGTTAGGGCTCGATAACAATGCATGTTGGTTAAATTTGTATCGATATACTGGCCAGACCGAAACGCCAAATATGAGACATTTTATTGTGAATGAATTCATCGACAATACTTTCAGGGTGGTAATTTTTTTAATATGCCACTTTAAAATTCTTAAAAGAGAAATGGCTTGCCTTTCAGTATGCGGTTATAATTTGGTGAATTTGATGATCAAATAAAGCTTGGCAGTAGGTCACTCAGTCTAAAATCTATCTATAAGTGTTGACGTTGGCCAGTAATACGCTTATGTTTTTTTGGTCTACTGAAATTGTTTTCATAAAACATACTTATGATCAGTTCAGGTTACGAAACTATCAAGTTCCGTTTGCTATGTCTATATGATATTATTTCACCATTTCTATTGGTAAATCAATCAACACTGAAACCTTGAAATTGCTGTCAAGCCTGGTATGTACTGATTTGTCTAATTTTATATTCACTTTGATTTAGTTTTGCAAAAATGAGTGTTTCTGGGCCTCCCTTGGGTTTTCATATTCACAATCAATACATTAATTGCATAACGTTCCCTATTAGTATGAGGGATAACAGTGAAGGTACTAAATGGAACTCAATAACTAAATTTACTCAAGTATGTAAGGACAAAAGTGCACAAGTGAATCTAGTAATTAACTGAAAAAGCTTGAGCTTCCAGCGCACTCGCTACCAGCAACAAGTTAAAATTTGTTTCTTCTCTGATCCTTAAGTCAAAATATTAGTCTTTATGACCACTCATTTAAAGTTTCGGGCTGATTCATTTACAAAACAGTGATAAAATTGTTTGTCAGTTCATTAGAATTACTCTTGTTTCCATTGTCAATGCTATTATATGATTAATTCATCTTCGAAGTCTCATCTACGGGTATATACAGTTGCTCAAATCTTCGCGTTCTTTCACAACGTGTGGTCATTCCTGAGAGTGAATTGGTTCAAGCTTAAACATCTAAGTTAGTAGTCGATCAGAGAAGCCTGCTAGGTCAAGTTTTTTATTATTAACAGAACAACTCGGAAACTCGCCCAAAGTTTTGATGTTCTCTGGTAAACTAGTTCTGATGTTGAACATTAGGAATCAGTCTTGTTAATGATTGATACTTACAATATACAATGATGGATCTTATAACCTTGATAAACGTTTGGACAACTCAAATTGGGTTGAGCTTCTCCATAAAGTTGCCACTGTAACAGGCTGAAGTAGTACTACCATGTAATGCCACAACCGGAGTTTGAGTCCACATAAATTAGGTAACTGAGTCTCATATCTTTTATTTTCAGTTCTTAATGCAGTGACATCAACACCAAACATTTGTGGCTTTTTAAATATATCACATACAAGTGAGTATAAGATAAGAAACGGTGGCAAAATGTGTGATATCACTGGTTATTTATGTGTCAATCATTGGAACAAACTTTATTTTAAAAATCCTTAATCGTTAAAGCTTCACCTTGTATTAACAACACGATAAAATAACACCTCTGAAGAACGTTCGACATAAAAACAAGCCTAATAGCATCTACTATATTTCAAAATGTAACTCTGGAAAACTGTATTAGAGCTTGCTGAAATAAGAATTTAAGAGCCTTACTGACGCTGATGTACTCTAGAGACAAACCTAAAGACAGCAAGGTTGGCTAATAAGTATGAAAATAAATTTGAAATTGAATGCATAACTGAAACAGTCACTGAGTACTGTACTAATGTTTACCGCAGTAACGAAACAAAGCCAGCTCAAAACTGACAATCCAGGGCTCACAGTGTACAAATTTGATTATCAAGATGGCGTAATCAGAATTTTTTAACTAAATATGCCGAAAAGAAGATTCACCAAAAGGTTACTCACATCTACCTTCTAGTTTGGGCATATACCTATCACGAGTCAGTTTACTTGAGACGTTCTTTTAGGAAGTGACGAACCACGAAATTTTTAAATTGCTAACTTATATTCTTAAAGGCCAAACATTTCCTTTGCTGTTCCTGCGAGGGCCAGTATTACTAAAATTCTTCTTACTTATTTAGTTGCGTGTTGCATTGTATCTTCTCTGCGTCATTTGAATTTAATGGTTATTTGAATCACCTATAACATTTTCAATAAACGCATCATTATTCATATTGCTATACGTATTTGGGTTTATTAATTGGTCTGTTATATTAGTTGCCCACAAAGACGAACATAGTTCAGATAATAAAGTCACCGAATTTGGGTACTATCATAATGCACGACTATAATAACTAAACTATCAGGTAATCGTTGTCCAATCTAGCATTTAAAATTAAAAGTCCAGGGCCTACTATTAAAATTAACACTATGTAGAAGAATATTCTTGAAGTGCAATTTATAGTATAATCAGGCAGTTCAGATTCATTAACACGACAAACTTCTGTTATTTCAGGAGCACCGAAAACGGCAATATCTTTTTCCCACTGGATAATCCTCAATCAACACTATAAATAGTTAAACATATTGGTTTCAACATATCGTCATAAATCATTGTCATGCCTTGACAATCACGTATGATGATTGATAAAGTTGATGAAACTATTAACAAAATCGGTCAACAAATTGACTTGTAATTGTCAATAAATAGTTTTGTTTTCTCGTTGTCTTCATCCATCACAGATGACTACAGCATGTTTCTCTATTGGTTGCTAATTCAGTAAATATCTTAAAACCTTTTCAGTCTAATTAAAGGTTTAGTGACACAATCGTGCATGCAACTCATTAGTATAATCAGTCGAGAAAATCTCCTGCAGTCCGAAAACACTGTCGAATTTATCCCAACACAGAACGGTAACCTGCTTGAATATCTGGGATACCTGTTTTTGCCATCTAATTATTTCAACAAGTTATCTGGTTTTTCATTTGTTTTAACGTACCATTATGTCCATTAATCGCATAACCTATTCAAGCGTACGACCTTTCGCTGCACAAGTTACAAATAAGTACTATAAAAGACATTGTGGTGGTTGGCAATATGCGTTAAAGAGAAGGGACATTAATCGTATGTCCATTCCCGAGCTGCTAAATTCTAACTGCCGATCACTAATCAACAAAGTGGACTATCTGCAATTCCTACTAAGTCAAAATATGTATCGTAATTGTGGTGTCATCACAATTAAAGAATCTTGGTTAAATGATTTACAGGACGACTGCCTGGTATCACTACGTGATTTCAAAATTTAGCGTCAGGATCAATCAAACAATAAAGAGAGGTGTGGTGGCGGTGAAGCTACGTTTGTAAACATAAACTGGTGTGTGTTTTAAGTTTTCAAATGACTTTATCGACTGTCTAACTCTAAGATGTTGTCCAAAACATCTGAATGAATACAAATATGTTTATGTTACCAATATCTACGTGACTCCAGACTGCACATCATCTGTTTTTGCGGATGAATTCACTAAGTTCGCTGTTACTGCCTTCAGTGATTCACTTTCAGTTGTATGTGGTGATTTCAATTCATGTGACTGTAGCTTCCTTATGTCACTGGGTCACCAAAATGTAGTAGGTTTTCCTACCCTTTTGAGTGCTCATTTAGACTTCGCTTTCATTAGTGATGTGGGTATATATGCGACTCGTAAACGTGCTCCATTGTCTAGCTCGGATCACTGTATAATTCGTGTTCTACCTAAACTATATGGGAAGCATGGGAAGAGTACACTCTTACATCAAACCAAGAAAGTGAAATATATGAATTACTCAAAAGAAAATATCCGAAATCTGAAAAACATGTTTCATACGACTAACTGGGAATTATTTACAGATGACTCACTGGAAATCACTACC